GGTGCCTTCCCTGCTCAAACCCAGTGCTGAGCTGGCTCCAGGGGGGCAGAGACACCTTGGGTGTGTTTGGGGTGGGATGGGATGGGATGGGATGGGATGGGATGGGATCCATGGGATGGAGCATTTTGGCTGCCATGACCCCATTTGCCATGACCCCTTTGGATTCATGAGGAGGTCCTGGCCGGGGTTGTGGCTCTGTCACCACAGCCAGATCTGCTCCCTGGGACCTGTGGTGTGGCACAGCAGGATGTGTCCCCTCATGGCTGTGTCCCCTCGTGGCCGTGGCTCGTGCCTGGGCTGCTCACAGCCCTAGGATTAGGGTTAGGATTTGGGGTGAGGATTGGGATTTGGGGTTAGGGTTAGGGTTAGGGGTTAGGGTTAGGATTTGGGGTTAGGGTTAGGATTTGGGGTTAAGGTTACGGTTAGGATTTGGGTTTAGGGTTAGTGTTAGGGTGCCTCATGTACAGACGAGCCTTGTGTGAGTCAGCAGAACCCAGCGCTGCTGCTCAGGGCTGGAAGGAAGAGGAGGATCCCAAAACAAACCCACGGCTCTGAACAGGCCCCTCAGTTTGTTTTTCTCMGGTAAACAAAGCCGGAACTCTTTGTTTCTCCCCGTTAAACACCAGCCCCAGCCTGTTGCTGGCTGTGAGTCAGCGCTGATGCTTCGTGCTCTGCCGTGCTGCCGTTTACCTGCTMTGACTTTCTCCTGAGAATTTTGCCGCCCCTTCCCACCCACTCCATCTCCTCCACGCTGGAACCCCTCCCTCATCACCCCGGGGTGCTGCTCCTGGTTCCCCACTTGGGTTCATCATCTCCCGGCTGTGCCAGGGCCATTTCTGCCGCGGGGAAATGCGCTCTGCAGCCGGGGCTGATCGCACGGGGGGCCCCTGGCAGGTGGCTCTCACTTAAGCCCAGGCCTCTCTCCTGCTCCTCGCCTTTGTGCGCCTCGAGAGGCTTTTGTTGCCGCCTGAAAAGGCTGAATGGCCGCTGCATCTGTCGCAGGGGGAGAGCGGAGCGGAGCGGGCCGGCGAAATGCTCGGCAGATGCTGCGGGCAGGGGGGGCTGCGGGCGAGCAGGGACCCCCGGCGGGGAGGGGAGGGACCCCCGGCAGGGAGGGGGAGGGACCCTCGGCAGGGAGAGACCCCCGGCGGGCTGGGACCCCCGGCGGGCAGAGGGAGGGACCTCCGGTGTGGAGGGACCCCCGACGGGCAGAGAGAGGGACCCCGATGTGGAGGGACCCCCGGCGGGCAGAGAGAGGGACCCCCGATGTGGAGGGACCCCCGGCGGGCAGAGAGAGGGACCCCAGATGTGGAGGGACCCCCGGCAGCCCGGGATCCTCGCAGGAGCCGCCACCGGCGGAGCGGAGAGCGCGGGGGACGCGGGGGTTGCGCAATGTTGGTCCCTTGTGAAAGCGCCGTGTAGGAGCCGCCTCTTCCTTCTCCCCGTGTCCGTCCCCGGGTCCCCCGCCCCGTTGCGACATCGCCCGCGGGAGCCGGGACGAGCGCGCTCCGGCATCTGCCCCCTCTGCGACATCTGCGACATCCGCGACATCCGCGACATCTGTGACATCTGCCTCGGCGGCGATCGCGGCTCCCGCCGCCCGTTCACGCCTGGCTGCCCGCCTGTCTCGGGCCGTGCGGTGCCGAGGCTGTCGCCGGGCTCGCCGCGGTGTCCCCGGGTGTCCCTCGGAGCGCTCCGATCACTCGCGCTGCGGGAATGCGGCCGAGCAGCTCGAGCGTGTGCGTGTCAGCTCGCGTTTGCTCGCCTCCCCCTGTGTGGCTCCCCCGTTCGCAGCTCTTTGTCATCTAAATCATTCTCTCTCGCCGCCGGGATCCTTTCTCCAACCTTTCTGTTCTCCCCCGGGGCTGGGGAATGTRGAGGATGGAGCCGGTCACAGGTTCAGCATCCCCCGGGCTCTGGTGGCAGTGGTCCCTGTCACTCTGGTGGCTGCTGCTGCTGCTGTGCTGCTTCCAAACCATCCTGGATGGACCCTCCACCAGGGAACAAAGTCCCTCCCAGACAGCCCCCTGGGATGGCAGGACAGGTCACACCGTGGGCACATTGTGGGCACATTGTGGGCAGGGTGATGCCGGACTCAACGCCCGCTCCTCCTCTGGACATCTCCACTCTCCTCCTTCCCCCAAATGGGCAAAACAAACATGAGCGTGAGGCTCTGGCCTGCTCAGCTGGAGCTTTGAGCTCTGTGCATGGCTCTCGGGGTGTAGGCAGAGCAGAAATGAGCCCCAGCTTGGGAAAGCCCCATCACCGGGGGTTGTGGTGGGTGGAAACGGCGGGGATGGGGTTAATGTGAAGATTTATATAAAGAGCCATGGTGATGTGGGGGAGGTTTCCTGAGCTGCACCTTTAATTGTTGCTGCCTTGTGGTTAARCCATGAATTTCCCTCTGTTTGGTAACACAATTCCCCTTATGGGCTCTGGGACTCGTGATTTTATTTCTCTGTTGTAGTTCATAAACGCCAAAAGCGGAATTGAGCTTTGCTGCTTCTGTGTCCTCCTGCTGGGCTCTGCCTCAGAATGCTGTCTGGGAAGGGCTGGAGCAACTTTGGGCTCATCACCTGTGGGTTTCCCGAATATTCTGGCGTTCCAGGATCGGTTCAGTGCGGGGAGAGGTGGGAGCAGCCTGAAAAAAGCTTCCAGCGCCGGCCCTACAAATGTGTAAAGCAGCTGACGCCAGTTGGCAGCGAGTTTGCAGGGGAAGATTAGAAGAGGAAAATCCTTTGAAGAGAAACCCTTTTTTGCTTTATTAGGAAAAAATGTTCCTTGCCCTGTGCTGGCCGGGTCAGGGGAATCCAGAGGCCGTGTGTGAGTGTGATCCAGGCAGGGGGAARCTCTGCTTTGCTTCCCTGCTGATAATTTGGGGGATGGCAGCCTGCCTCCCTTCTTACTGCAACTCAGGAGGATTTATTTTAACCTTTGTGGTGCTGGCAGGTCCTGAGGGAGCTCCTGGGGGTCTTTTGGGGCCTGGGTGTGTTAGGCAGGTCCTGGTGGAGGGGTGGGAGAGGGGACTGGGGAGAATTGGGGGGATCAAAATACACAGGGAAATAAAACTGCCCTGCCTGGGGTGAGCGTGGGTCATGGTGGGGCCTGAAGATGGACAGGGTGAGCCTGGTCCTTGCTTTCCATGGAAATTACCCGTTAAGGTGAGCTTTTCCTGGGCAAACTCCTGGACAGGGATATCTTGCCCTGATATCTGAGTGTTTTTGGCTCACTGAGGGGCTGCRGTGGCACCCACAGCCAGGACAGACAGTGGGACGGGGTCCTTGGGGAGCCGGGGGAGGAGGGAGCTGCCTTTCCCAACCTGTGGTGACTCAGGGAGCATCATCCCGGGAGGAGGCGGTGACTGAATCAGTGGTGCCCGAGGACACGCAGCAGAGAGAACGGGAACGGGAACGTGAGCGTGGGCAGCTCCGGCCCCTGCTTTGCTCCAGAGCTTTCCTTCCTTCCTTCCTGCCTTGTGCCCACCCACTGTGCTGTGCCTGTCCTCAGGTGATGGGGGAATTCAGCTCTGTGCGATTCTGAGCCCTTTCTTGGAGCTCCAGCTGGTTTTTGATGCCCGCAGGAGCCTGGATTTGGGTTTGGGTTTTTTTCGGGGAGGTGCTGCTCCCCTGCACACACCCCGATGAGCTGTTTTGTTTGCAGGAGCTGCTTCCAGGGTTTGTCTTTCCGAGGTGGGGAAAAGCCCAGAGGTGCCTCAGGAGCTGGTGAGGAGCCTGTGCTGCTCTCAGCACTGAGCTGGGCTGTGCCAYCCGCTGATGGAGCCAATTTGAGGCTTCTAATGAGGGTGTTTAGCTGGGCACAGAACTAATTTCCAGCTCCTGGGGGAGCTGGGCTGAGCCGAGGCACAGGATGGCAGCAAAGCCGTCTGCCCAAATCTCCGAGGTGTCTGCGAGGGGAGCWGGAATGCGGCTCGGAGCTGAATTTCCTCGCAGGGTGGAGTGGCCGCTCCCTGCTCCCCCTCCTTTCCTGCAGGGAGGTGCCCCGGTGGGAGCGGAGCCGGGATGGGGCAGAGCTCTGTGCTGGCTGTCCCTGTGCTGGCTGTCCCCCGAGGGGACACGGGGGATGCTCTGCCCGACGAGCTGATATTTGGAGAAAGTGGCTGCAAATCTGACCCCGCTTAAAGCAGCCCAGAGCCGCAGAGGGAAGGGGATGCAGCTCCTCGGTGTGTGAGTCCCGCCCGGATCCGCTCTGGGGTGGTGGCAGAGCTTCCTTCCTTCCTGCAGCGCTGCCCTTGTGCCCGGCCCGGGGACGCTTGTGTAACTCAGGATCCGGTTACTGCCCGCCTCAGCTGCCCCAGCCCCTCTCCAGCAGGAGCAGCCCGGCAGTGCAGCGTTCTGCGGCTGAAATAATGAGAGTTTGATCTCCAGGAGCCCTCMTTTGGGAGGGGAGCAGGGGATAAGGGCTGGGAAGGAAGAATCGGGGTGAACCCCAGCAGATTATCCTGCTGCTGCCATCGAAGGGTTAACCCTGGCTGTGCTGCACTTTTAGGATCAGCTGCGATGGGTGGGATGGGGGCAGCTCACCCTCGCCGTGGTTTCCTATCCTTTCCTCGCTGGCAGCCAAGGAATATCAATCCTGCTGCGGTGCCAGGATGCCCTGGAGAGCAGAGCTGAATCGGGACAGGGGCAGCGTCCCCACAGCCCCCAGATCTGCTGGGTTGGAGTTTCTGGGGCCGGAGCAGGGCCAGGACAGCGCCCAGCAGGGATTGCACTGCGGGCTGGGCAGTGGGAGGGAAGGCTGGCAGCTCTAGGCTCCCTCCAAAGGGGACAAACTGGTGCAGGRGCTGCCATTGTCCCACCCTGTGTCACACTGGGCACATCCCCAGCACCCCAGGGTGCAGTGCTGTGTGGGGCAGAGGTTTTGGGACTGCCTCTGCCATGGCTCGGCCATCCCCACATCCCTCTGTGCATCTGGCCTTCATCTCCCCTTCACATTTCCTAAATGACCCAAATCATTCCCCTAATGAGGCTTCCTCTGCTCCTCTGGAAGCCTCTCCATCCCCTCTCCATCCCCTCTCCATAACCTCCCCATCCTCTCTCCATCCCCTCTCCATCCCCTCTCCATCCCCTCTCCATCCCCTCTCCATCCCCTCATCCAGCAGGGGAGCAGGGCAGCAGCTGGATCACAGCTGGCTGTTCCAACACCCGGGCACTCTTTGCTCCTGGAGGATGTCTGCCTACAAAAACAAACGTCAGGGCCGTGCTGGTGCAGGTAATGAAGGCTGCTGCYTCCCATTTCATTAGAAATCCAATTAATCTCCTCTAAAAGCGCTCGGAGTGCCCTCTGAAAATGGGATGTATTTTGCTGTACCTCCGCTRTTTGCCTCGTGCAGGGTGATGTTAACTGGCTGCTTCCTGCTGCTCCATTTTCCCGGCGCATAATTACAAATTGTTTTGTTGTTTTTTTTATTTATTTTTTTTCCTCTTCAGCTTCCTGGCTCTTTGCAGTGGGGCTGCAAATAGCCAAGCTTTATTCCAGTCCCCTTTACGCGGCTCCTGGTGGGGCTGGTGTTACTCTTGCTGATGGTTTTGGATCCGGTTTTTAGGGTAATTAAGCAACAGAGAGGAGCGAGGAGGGGCTGTATGGCAAGGAATTGTGCAAAGGTTGGCTTGGCCACTTCGCTCCTCGCCGCGTTTGCGATGGTTTGGTACCAGCAGCACAGATTTCCATGGGTTTCCACAGATTTCCATAGGTTTCCACAGTTTTCCAAAGGTTTCCACAAGTTTCCCCCGCCCCGGGAAGCAGGAGGGATGAGGGGGTGGGAGAGGTGTGACCCAAACCCGGGGGATGTTTCGGGCACATCCTGCCTGTGCCTCTCCCCGTGGGGAAGGACGAGCGCTGTTCCAGGCAGGAATGCAAAAATGCAAATCGCCGGGGCTCTGCCGGGGCAGAAAAA